CCACCAATCAGAGGCTGTGGATCATCTCCACCAATCAGAAGCTGTCAATCATCTCCACCAATCAGAAGCTGTCAATCATCTCCACCAATCAGAAGCTGTCAATCATCTCCACCAATGAGAGGCTGTGGATTATCTCCACCAATCAGAGGATGTGGATTATCTCCACCAATCAGAGGCTGTCAATCATCTCCACCAATCAGAGGCTGTCAATCATCTCCACCAATCAGAGGCTGTGGATCATCTCGACCAATCGGAGGCTGTGGATCATCTCCACCAATCAGAGACTGTGGATCATCTCCACCAATCAGAGGCTGTAGATTGTCTCCACCAATCAGAGGCAGTGGATCATCTCCACCAATCAGAAGCTGTGGATCATCTCCACCAATCAGAAGCTGTGGATCATCTCCACCAATCAGAGGCTGTCAATCATCTCCACCAATCAGAGGCTGTGGATCATCTCCACTAATCAGAGGCTGTGGATTATCTCCTCCAATCAGAGGCTGTGGATTATCTCCACCAATCAGAGGCAGTGGATTATCTCCACCAATCAGAGGCTGTGGATTATCTCCTCCAATCAGAGGCTGTGGATTATCTCCACCAATCAGAGGCAGTGGATCATCTCCACCAATCAGAGGCAGTGGATCATCTCCTGACCTTTTGAAGAACCTGTTCTGCTCTGAGGGGACAGATGCTGGACCTGTGTGGACAACCTGCTGCTGATCTGTCCTCTCTGACCTTCTTCACTCAGCTGAGCCCCCCAACCTTCCTGTTGGTGTTTGTAACAAACTGTAACTGAAACTGGGAATAAAATCTGTGACAAACACCCAGATTAAAAAAGCTCAAACCAAAGTTTCTGAACAACAAGGCTGAGTTTCCTTCTGAAATGTCCTCCTGCTGTCTCTGTCTTAGCACCTTCACCCTGAAGGTCCGACCTGTAGACCCCATCAGTTTGATCACGTCCCCAGAACTGAACAGAGAGAGGTCCGTTACATAACGGACCTCCTCAGGTCAGTTTCCTGCAGGACGTTAGGATCTGTCCTGAGAAAAGGGCTGAAATGTTTGTGCGATCAGAGCGATGGGAGGCTCGGTCCTGAAATAACTCTGGGTCGCCTCTGATCATTTCCCTCTTTTGTCCTGAGCAGAGGCGCTTGTCCTCCCACACAGCTGGAACAATGCAGCAGCTTCATTCTTCATCTGGAAATAAGAGTCAGATCTGAATCCCCCCACGGCTCCAGCAGGATGTTTCAGACGTCTGTCAACAACACGCTGGCTTCAGTTTTACTGTTCGACACGCTGCTGACAATGACTCGGATACTATTCAATCAGTCTTTAAACTTGTTTACAAAATGTCTGTTTTATTCAGAAAAACAATAAAGTTTATTCAAAAACTGTTTAATGTCAGCAGAGTTATCTTTAACTAATTGTGTTCAGCTAATTGACCTGTTCTCTGTTAATGTACGGTGCTGGGTGATCATGTAGTTTACTTTGTCTGTTAGCAAAATATGTCATGAAACACGAGGAAAGTTCTCAAAATAACCACTGAATTACCAGTTTAGTTTAGTTTTTAATTTAAAAGAGAAAAACATATATATTATTAATAC